TTTCAGTGCTGGAGATTGAACCCTGGGCCTTGCACACGTGCATCCTATCGCTGAGCTACACTGCCAGCCCTTTTTATTATTTTTAACACATTCTTTATAGGGTTGTTCCCAAGATCAAGTGAAACAATGCAGATAATACACTTAGCACAGTGTCTTACTCCAAGTATAAGCTCATAAATGACACTGTTTTTTTCATCCCTGGGGGCCGCCGACAAACGGACTACAAGTACCAGCATGCCCTGCGTCCCCAGTCTGGGCCCCTCCACCCAGCGCTGGCGTGCAGCATGCCGGGAGTTGCAGTCCTCACGGGGCAGGTTCCGCCCCCTCCTGGCTTGAGGGAGGAGGTTGGAGAGCCGCCCTGCCGGCCTTTGAATTTTGCCGCGAAAAGCGCGCGTGGCGGCCCCCAGCCCCGCCCCCTAGTGGACGCGGCGCCGCATCACCCTGGTAACCGCCTCTCGGCCGCTGCTGATTGGGTCGAGACGTGGAGGGCGGGCGGGGGCCGAGACGCAGCGGCGGCTGCAGGCGCTCGCGCCTGTCAGTCGGGCCGGAGCGGAGCAGCGGGCAGGACAGCGGGCCAGCAGCTCCGCGGAGAGGCTGCGCGCGCCGGCTGGGAGAGGCGGAGAGCCGGACCAGCCGCCAGCGGGGCGCGGCACCCGGGCCTGAGGCAAGGCGAAGCGCCCGCGCGCGGCAGGCAGCGCGAGGCTGCGGCCCCGGCAGCCACCCGCGCGATGTCCGGGGCCATGGGCGCGTGAGAGCCCGGCGCGCGCTCCCCTGCTGCAGCGCTCGAGCTCGCACGCCTGTGCACCATCCCTCCGGCAGTCCTCGCGTCCGCCCTGCGCCACCGGAACCTGCTATTACTCGGCGCGAGGCCCCCGAGGCTGCATCCCAGCCTCCGCCGCTCGCTGCCGCTGCCGCCGCCGCCGCTCGCCGGCTTCCCCTCCCCCCACACCCGAGGCTCGGAGCAGCAGGAGGAGGGGCCCGTGCGTTCTCGCCGCTGCTCTTTGCAACCTGCGGGGGCCAGTGCGTGCCGACGAGGAGCCGGAGCCGCTGCAGGTGCGTGCAACCCCCGGAGGAGACAACTTCCCCACCCTCGGGTGAACCCAGTGGTTGCAAGCCGCGAGCGGGCGGGCGAGCGAGAGGAAGCAACAAAGACAGGCCGCTGCTGGGGCTGGCGAGAGCGGCCGCGGTGGCCGGGCTCCCAGCGCGGACGGAGAGGGCGCCCTGGGAGCGGCGCGGGCAGAGCTACTGCGGTAAGCGGGGCCCCGAGGGGAGGCGCAGCGCCTCCCGCCGGCCGCGCCGAGCACAGGCTCGGGCAAGGATGCGCCGCCTGAGAGCCCGCGCTGCCCGGGTCCCGGGCGAACGCGACCCCCGCTGAGCGGAGAAAACCTCCAGACTTCGGACGGCGCAGTTCGGCACTCGGATCGCTCTCACCGACTACGCTCCTCCCCACCCAAAGAGAGGCATCGGCCCCCAAGGGGGGCTTCCTCGGGCAGCCTCTGCCACCCCTGCATGGCTGCGATCCGCCGAGCGGAGCGTCGTGGTCACTGAGACCTGGTGCCCTTCGACCGCTTGGCTGATCCGGTGAGTTCCACGGGGCGGGGTTACGGTCTGGAGCCAGGGCTACCCTTTGGCGTCTGGGCAGCCTAGACTGGACAAAAAGGGACCCTAGGTCGTTTGATGCCCTGAGGCAGCAGTGCTCCTGTCCACTCCTTTCCCTTCCACGTACAACTTGTTGGGACTGGCCAGCCAATTGGAATGGAGGGTGGGGATCCCAGGTGGCCATTCCTCGGGCCTTGGGCAGTGCTGGATGCCAGAGAGGAAAGGTCACTCCACCAGTAAAGCTAACAAAGGTAGTGGCTCTGTCCTCGAAAAATGGAAATTTCCCCTGGGAACTCCTGAGTATTGAGGGAGGGACTGAGGACTTCCAGAGCAGTCTCTGAGATCTTCAAGTGACATAGCTCAGAGGGGATGTGGAGTCCTAGTCACCTCAGGTGGCCATGTTTGAGGATTGTGCCCTCTGGGGCTATACTTTGGCAGAACGCTCCCCATTCCAGCCAGTACCTCCACAAATAAGTCACAGGGACTATATGTTCCCCTTGGGGATGCGATGTGACATCACTGCCCTGCCTCTGATATGCCCCTGGTATTGTCATGACAACACAGCTGGCCTTGACCCAAGGCCGGAAGGGCAGGGCTGGATGCCTTTGGCTAGCGGAGGGGTGAAGGCCAACTCCCCCACTCTCTCACTGCAGTCTTCTGACCTAAATCCCCAGCCACCACGCAAAATGGGGGAGGGAGGCAATGCCAGCTGTCCCCGCTGTTGCTCCTCCCCACAAGGACAGGTGTTCAGAACTTTGCCATGTAGCCTGGCAGTGCCTGGGGGCTCAGGACTCCCAGAGCAACTTTCTGCTTTCAAACAGGATGCTAAACAGCCCTCCCCGAATCCCACTATATGCCCACCCAACAGGCTGAAATCTCCAGGTCCCCAGCCTTGAAAGAGGCCACTTCTACTCAGGATCATGTGAATTCCCTGCCCCCAGCTGGAGAAGGTGAGAAGGAGCTGCTGTTATAGTGTTCCAAAGGGATCTCTAGAGGTTCAACCTTGGCCCAGCTTGACCTCCTACCTGTGCCATTCTCCTTGTGGTGTTGAAGATAATTTTGAGAGCACAGTGTGATTGATTCTTGTTAAGCTGATGAAGAGCAGTCTGAATAAAGCATCTGCCAGGGCCCACTTTGATGGGCAGAGGGCATAAGCCAGCACTGGCTCTGTACCTTAAGTCCAAAGAACCACCCAAGCAGCATTCTGCTGCTGGCTCTCTGCTACTTCTAAGGCCTTTATAGCGGTTACTGCCAGCATCAGATTTGGATGAAACTGCTGGGATCACATTTCTAGGAAAAGGTTCAAAACCTGGCATTGCTTCCACTGTGTGGGGCGGATAAGAGCAGAGAGTGGGGGACCGTTCTGAGAGGCCAGAGCCATCCCTGTACAGCAAGCGTTTTTCCTCTTCTACCAGACTCTAGCTAGATTAACAGGTCAATAAATATTGGGGGAACTGCTTTGGGGGCTTGGCAGGGAGATGGTATTTCCTGCTGAAATAGTGTCGTTAAAACACACAAGCTTCTGAGGACAGCAGAGCAGCAGCAGATTGGGGGAGAACTAGGAGATGTGGGCAGAGGGCTGTTTGCACTGCCTCTCGACGCTTCCCAGTTTAGAAACAAACTGAGAGTGCGCGCCAGAGATCCACAAACACAGGCGGTTGGAGGCCCTCCGTGGAGTATTTACACTTTTCTCAGCCAAGGCAGTGGGAAAGGCTGTCAGAATTGGGCAACTCCTTCTGTTCCCTTCCCTAGGCTCTCTGGGCTTGGGAGTCAATGCCAGACATGAGCAGGGGAATGGGATGCCAGCTTATCCGGCATCCCCCTGTACGCCAGGCATTTTATAGGATCTTAGTTACTTCTTGGGGTGGCTCATGTACTGTGACCCATTTTACAGATAAGAAAACTAAGGCTCAGACTGAGGAAGTAATGGTTAGCAGGTACTCAGGCAGTTGCAGAGGTTTGGCCTGAATGGCTCTGACTCCAGAATCTCTGGGACCTTCTCACTTGCTGCTTCCACGGGTATAAGGGAGGCACTTCCTGTCAGATGGTTCCTGCAAGAGTCAGGGGCTGTCTGTCGGCTTTGGAGATGTGCCTTGTCTGCACCCAAACCGAGGTTTGAATCCTGATTCCCCCTTACCTACAGGACAGTGTTAAGCAGTGCAACTTCTGCCTGGGCCTGTGGTCAACCTGCTCCCCTCATCCCCTGGACTCTTCTTGTGGAGGAAGGAATGCATGGCTGCCAGGAGAGTTGAGAGAGTCAGCCTAGTCTCCTTGTCATCTGTCTGTCCCCCAAGTTTGCTTGGAGGAGCGATGAGGCTGCCTTTAGCCATCCAGGAACCCTCGATAAATGCCCAACTAGTCAGAAGACAGTGGCCTTCTGACCCAGCACAAGGTCAGGGAGCGGCTAAAAGAGGGGTGCTATGTGAACCTCAAAATGGACAAATAGGGATGACCAGAGGAGTGAGAAGAGAATTCAGGCAGTTGGAGTGGCACTCAGATCCACTCAGATGTCTGTGGGCCCTTGTGCCTGCTGTATTGAATGAGACTGGGGTGGCCCTGAGGTTGCTGTGTCCTGGAGACTCAGGTGATGGGGTTGGGGTAAGCAGGGGGAGAGGATCCAATGAGGGCTCTCTTGAGTGGAGCAGCAGCTTTGAACATTCCTTCTGGTCTGGGCGGGGAGGGATGTCTCCTCGCAAGGTTGGTTTCCCCTTCTCCACCACCAGTAATCCTTCTCACTGGTCTAATTCCATGTAAGCTTGTCCATGCCCTGGCCCTGTAGCCTCAGGGCTGGGCTTTGCTGGTTACTTAGGCCCTTTGATGAGAAATGGAGACTCCCCAGGGAACAGTTGGCCTGGATCCTACTAACCAGCCCACCCCTTGCTAGCTGTGTGACCCTGAGTGAGCTTTGCTTCTCTGAGCCTGTTTCCTCATCTGTGGAAAGGAGCTGCTATTAGCACTAGCTACCCAGGGGTGTACTGAAGCTTCAGTGCTGGCATATAGTAAGAACTCAATAAATGCAATTTTTTGGCTACTGTTAGCCTCATCCTCAGGTCAAGGCCCTGAATGGATCCCCCAGTCCCTTGAGCCAAAGGTGGAAAACCCAGATCCAGGACATGGGTGCCTACCCTCTCAGGTGCCTCTGCAGGGGCTGTTTGTGGGGGTGAACACACGAGACTCCCACCTAAGTTCCAGGGGGAACTGGGACCTGGCCAGGGCCCCTCCCCAGTCTCCCTCCTGCCCCTCTGTCTTCCCATCTCTCCCCAGCCAGTGGAAGCCAGCGAGCAGCTCATATTCATGAACCGTAATTCAATCAGGCGGCGATTCCTCCGGGCTGGGCGGGGGTGAGAACGAGGAGGCGCGCACAAAAGGGCCGCTTTATTACCTCCCGCGGGCCGGGAATTGCTGCTCTCCCCCAGCAGCGGCCGGAGCCGCCTTTATTGTGTTAACCCATTTGCGTGTCAAGAGCTATTGTGCGCTTCCCCGCCTGTGCGCTGCGGCCTGGGGAGGAGGGTTTCGCTGCCGGCCGGTCACCTCCGCGGGCGCCGCCCGTCGCCCTGATTGGTTGCTAAGTGATTTGCATCCAAGGTAATCACTTTTATCTCAGAAGGATGTCGACTATAATTATAAGCTACTGACATCTTTTGAAATCTGCCTAATGACTATTTTAGTCTGCCCGGGCTGGGGTGGGGAGGGGGATTCTGCAAGGGTGTGGAGGCTGGGTAGGGAAGGATTCCTTCCACCTGGACCATTGGTTCCTTAGTTGAGAAATAGCTGAGTGCCCACTGCGTGCCTCAAACAAAAGACCTGCTGGTGGCAGAGGGGAGCTTTCATTCCTGTGGGTGGAGTTTAGCACCATTTCAGAGATGGGGAAATGGAGGCCAGGAGAAGGATCCACCTGCCCAGGGCCACCCAGCCCATAGATGGTGGGCATCCGGGTCTGTGTGACACCCTAACTAATGCACTGGTCACTTAGGTGGGGAACAGATAATGAGAATTATGCCTGGTAGAGGACCTTGGTCTGGTACCTTCCAGTGTTGTCATACCCTAAAGAAAAGCAGATGCTGTTAGCACCCCATTTTGTCTAGGAGGAAATGTAAAGTACAGGGAAGGTTTGTCCCTGCCCAAGGTTACACAGCCAGGGAGTGACAGGAGAACTTGGTGGGGGAGGGTGGCATGAGCAGTGAGGAGATGGTAAAAGGGCAGGGCTGGGTTCCACCTCCCTGCTCATCTCTGGCTCCCTCTTACTGCACTGGAAAACACCTGGCATCAGCCTGGGCCAGAGTACATTGCTCTGGTCAGGTGGCCAAATGCCAAGGAACTGGAGGACCCATAGCCTGCATCGGGAGCAAGATGTCTGCTAGCCACCTGAACTCTGCTGAGTTTGAGCAAGGAAAAACTCAGGAGTTAAGGAGAAAGCACAGCTGCTCCTGGAGGCCTTCCTGACACAGGAGGCCTTTGCTTCAGGCTCAGAGGACTGAGTGGATCTGCCCAGCATAGGATGAGTGGGGCTGCTGCTGGCTGAGGGAGCTCATAGTGGGCAGAAGTGACAGGGAGATAAACTAGTAGGGTGTCAGAGGGCCTTGAGTGACAAACTAAGGCCCCTGTATGGTCCAAGGGAAGAGCAGAGCCAGGGTAAGTATCTAGGAGAAGGGTGCCATTTGACCTCTACAAGCTGTAGAGGTTGGCAGGAGGCATTAGGATCCTCAGGCCTACAGGTGATGAAAACCTGGGCTCCTGTCATTGACTGTTTTTGAGCCTCAATTCCCTCATTTGCTTAAGAGGGCAGTTTTCTTACAGGCTTGTGGGTGGGAAGATTTTGTGTGTGCATAGAGCTCCTGTGTCCTGTGGGGACAACCAGGAAGGAGGAGCTTGCTGAGCTCAGACTGAGTGAGCCAGGCTCAGGCCTTGGCCAGTCACCCTGGCCCCCCAGCAAGCCGCTGTCCTGGCCAGAGCAGCTGTTTGGGGCCCTGGAAACTCCTGCTATTGTACTGAGGGCACAGGGGACAAAGGCCTGGGAGATCAGAGGAGCCCTGAGCTGGCTGTGAACAGGCAGGGTCCTGAAGACAGAGACTTAATGATGCAGAGTCTGTGGGAAGAGGGGAGGGGCCTCCTTTTGAGGAAGAGGAGGAGGTCCAGCCACCAGCTGTCTGCTCCAGGATTTGCTGCTAGGAGAGGGGCAGCCTGATGAAGTGGCACTGCAGGAGGCAGAGGTGGCAGCTCCTCCCAGGCCCTGTACCCTCAATATCTGTGTGACCTCAGTCTCCCAGTCTGTCAGATGGGCCCAGAGTCCACTTGAGTAGACAGCTATGAGCCTGGCAGTAAGGAGAGCAAGTGGGCAGTAGACAAGAATGACTATTTTGCGTTTTATTTATTCAGAGGGATTCACTGCTCCATGCCAGGCTCCCTGCCAGGTGCTGGGGACACAAAGATAAACAGGCCCCAGTTGCCTTGAAAGATGGGGCGGTTCTGAAGGGAGAGGCCTCGAGCACAGAGCAGAGCGGGTTACTTGCACAAAAGCGGGATTCACAGTATGTGGCCACCGAGCCAGAAGCAGGGGGACATAACAGCAAGACATGGCAATGAACAATACAGACTGGGTCCCTGCCCGTGGGTGCCTCAGGTCTCTCAAAGCATGCTGGGAAATCAAAGGTGGAAACTTACTCGCAGCTGGGACGATCAGACAGGGCTCTGTGGAGGGAGATGGCTGGCTTTGTGCATTTCCTTTTAAACACATTGGCTTATTCTGAGAATCACAGGACTCTGTTGACATCTTCTGTGTGCTAGACTGAGCTTCCCTCTTTAGGCTTTTGTTCTCTTATTTAATCTTCATATCACTCTGTGAAGGGTATTCTTTTTTATCCCTGTTTTGTAATTGAGGAAACTTAAGGCTCAACAAGGTGAAGTGACAGTGTAGGGCCAGATCCATGTGGCAGGTGAACAAAATCCCCTACCTTATCCATTTTGCCTCTTCTCTTCTGGGCTGGGTGGGGTGATCATGGGAGGATCCTTGGGCAGGAGCTGCAGCGACCCCGTTCTGGGCCAGCTGTCTCTTTTATGTGCTACATGACCTTGAGCGAGTCGCCCCCACCCCACCTCAACCCAGACACAACTGTGTCCTTTGTAAAATGTCAAGGATAGTGAACACGTGGCAGGTCTGGCTCGCCTTCCACACTGTGCCCTTGGCAGACATTGCCAATCAATTGCTGCCCTCTTCCCCTGCTGAGTTCCTCCCCTGACCTTGGGTTCTTGCCAGGGCTTTGGGCAGGCAGCGCCAATCAATCAACAGAGCCTGTGAGCTGAAACCGATTGGCTGCCTGACCTTGATGAGCTCAGGGATCCCTCTGCCATCTCCATGTGGTTCAGAGGACCAGGGTACCATGGTCAGGGATTTCTGGGGAACTTCTCTGAGGACATAGGTTGTTCTTCAGTCATGAGAACCAGTTAGGCATGAGCAGTTGCCTTCTTCCAACTCCCAGAGTGACTCATAGCCATCTATACAAATTCAGAACACCTATAACTTGGAATTTATTTACAGATAGCATTCATTCAACTCTTCCTGAGAGCTGAGTTCTGGGGGGTTCTCTCTCTCTCTCTCTCTCTCTCTCTCTCTCTCTCTCTCTCTCTGTCTCTTTTAATTTTTGATGGAACTGGGGTTTGAACTTAGGGCACTCTACCACTTGAACCACATCTTCAGTCCATTTTGCTTTGGTTATTTTGGAGATGGGGTCTCGAAAACTATTTACCTAGGTTAGCCTTGAACCATGATCCTCTTGATCTCAGCCCCCACCCCCAAGTAGGTAGGATTACAAATATGAGCCACCAGTGGCTGGTCCTGAAAGACACCTGCATGTCTTGCAACACCCCTAGGAAGAATTCTTAGCTCATTTTAGAAATGAGGAAACTGAGGCTCAGTGCAGTTAAGCAGTATAGCTGCATGTACTTGCTGAGTGGCTGAGCTGGCATTCAAACTCAGCTCTCAACATCTGTAGCCTAGCAGTGGCAGGCTGCCAGGGCAGCCTTCCTGGGCAAGGTGTTGTTTGTTCTGAGGCCTTAAGGACTAGTGAGATGAGAGGCAGGCAGGCGAGAATGTTTCTGGTGAGGGACAAGTGTGTGTTTCCATGTGGCTAGAATGTGGAGAGGGGACCATGGAAGGAGCCAGCGCTGGTTTTGGCATTTGGATTTTCCTCTCCACAGTAAGGAGCCATGAAAGCTCTTTGAGGAGAGGAATGATGAGGTCTCATCTAAGTGTCCATGTCCAGCATCTCTGTGAACCTAGGGTGAGGGACCTTCAGCCTATCTATCTCTGGTCTACTGGAAGGTGTAGCCTAGAATGGTAGGTAGTCATCCAAAAAGGGTTTGTTGAATGAATAAATGAATGAATGTTCACTGGATTGAAATGTTCCTGACCACTTCATGGGTCCAGTTGCTAGGAGGAGACCAGAGTGTCTCTGGCAAGTTGAACACCAGGCCTGGCAGAGAGCAGCAGAAGAGGGGACCAGGTAGGTACCTGGGGCAGGGGCCCTTCTGCTCCTGTCCCTGCTGCCTGTCCCTAAGACGTCTCCTAGACATTCCTGCTGGGCCATCCGCTCCTCACCAGCCATGCCTGGCGGGCAGTGTGGGCCTAGTGCTTGGGGGGATGAAAGATGAAGGTTCATGACCATTTTTTAACTCAATAAAGGGAGACAAGCTGCAGGCTGCAGGCCGGAGATATAATTAGTTCGCAGCAGTGGCGCTTTCTTGATTTAGCTTCTGAGAGAACAAGACAAGGATGTTATACCCAATTAGCAGTAACATCCAGTCGAAGCCTCAATAGGTGAGATAACAAGCTATTTTTATGACTCTTCTTTCCCAGCTTGGGAGGGGGGCGGGGTGCAGGGGTATCAGGGCCTTATTTCTTTTCATCAGGGAACAATTATTAGCAATCTCAGGATTTCCCAAAGCCAAACGATGCATTCGTTAACCCAAACAAGCAGGCAGCCCAAGGAAGCAGCTGGGGCGGCAAGCTGGCATTTTGAGCCCAGGGGTAGCAGGAGGGGTGTGTCATCTCCATTCTGGAAGCCCCTGAAAGAGGCCACCAAATGCAGAGCCTATAGGCTTGGCAGGGGAAGCTGCAGTCTTTGGGAGATTCTTAGTGCCTGCCTTGGTTTCTCTACCTGCTTTCAAAGGGACATAGGAAGCCAGGCTAATTCCTCTGGGGATGAGGAGGGACCCTGGCAGCACTTCCTGGCACCACTTTCTATCTCTTCTGCCAACTGGGCCAGAGGTTCTGGCTCCTTGACCCTACACCTGACATTGCACTCTGCCTAATGGACCCCCATCATGGCTCCTAACACCCAACTGCCCTCCTGCTTGCCTGGGGCCCCAGGTCCAGTCTCCAGCAGGCCCTGAGTGCCATTTAGCTGCAAAATACTCTCGTTATTCCACAGCTGGGGCACCCAGCACAGTTCCACTGTTGGCCAAGGCCCTGTCAGGCAGAGAGGCCCTGCCAAGCCCCATCCCAGCCACCCAGCTATACTCAGACTCTTGTCCTGGTAAAGGCTGGGGCATGCCCAGAGAGGGAGCTGGCATGACCACTACAACTCCCC